ATACATTAGTTTATTCAGTAGAATATGTACTCACGTGTTTTTATTTACCGATTATTATTTTTTCTAAATATTTGAAGCACTTTTTATGATGTTTGCAAGCTAGAATTAATTTCTGATGCTGTCAAATTTAGTCGGCTTCCGCGTGGATATGGTTTGCATGCTCTAGCACATGCATTTGTTTGACAATTCATAGGTAGCGTATTAGTCGTTTCACTCTAGCTTTGGGCTCGTTGGAAAATCAAAAGCATGTGGCGAGTACATAGAAATAACGATTAAACGGTAGAGAAGTAGAAACAACGGGTAGCCACTACAAGAATAAGTATGCGGTTTTGCATAGGAAGGCATTTACAAAATATTTATAACATTATTATATTTATATTTATAACATATATATTATATTATATATTATATTTATAACATTATTTATAGCATTAAAACCGAATGCCTAAGAAATTATTAAATTAAAATAATAATAATAACAGTAATAATAATTAAAGATTGGCGCTTGCACAATATGTTAGTGTTTGGCCGAGCTTCTCCTCCGTACGTATTGATGTTATCACATAAAAGCTTCTCATTATTATAATTATCAAGCAATAGCAATAAACATGATAGCTATGTATATATTGACAATAAAAAAATACCTCTATGTATTTAAACTAACTTAAATTCACCAGATTGTAACTGCTTCAATCAAATTGTAAATAAATCAGAAAAATTTAATTCCTGTAAAAGATCAATATTTGTTATAATTGTAAATGCAGCAAAAGCACGCTTATGACACCACTTACAAAAATCACTTCACAAATTCTACAAGTTAAAGAAAAATTATCGGTACAGTATTTAATTGAAAATTTATAAAATCCCTTACATACATACATATGGACATACATACATATATGTGTATATCTGAATTTTCTGCTTGAAGTGTTATTATCGAGGTAGATACTTACCTACATATGTATTTTTCTCGCTCGCACCTTAGATATAAGCCGCACAATATGAAGCGATAAAGAAACCTACGATAAACCCAGTGCAAGATCATTTCTCGCATTTCGTTTTGATGAGGTGAATTATCATTATCCGATTGGACATATCCACTATCAGCTGACTTTTGTTTGTCAAACTGACGCGACATGGACCAATCCAATCCGAAGCGAAAAGTATAGAACTGGTGAACGGGGAATGAGGAACGCTAAAACAACGTTAATTGCACTGTGATGATGTTAAAAAAAAATATTAAGTACCAATAGCCGCAAATGGTGACGATTTTGTTAGACGAGCTTCAATTTTGTAAGATTGTGGGTAATTTCGTTCGTATTTCGGTAAAATTCTCATTCCGGTGACATAATTTCCTAGTGTTCAAATAAGATACATATGCATGGGGCTAATTGCATTGTTGAAGCTTAATTCGTGAATAGTATATTGCGAACCCGTGTATGTACATACGCGCTGATATGCGATCAGTTGGTCTGTCGCCAGCAGACTTTTAGTGCGTAAAGTTTGTGTTGTTGTTTGTGTGGTTTTCCTTAGCTTGGGAGAGTGCGAAAAATCCAATTGGGGAAATGCATGAAAAGTTCCAATAAGCGCCCAAAGTAATTTCTTCGGAGTGAATTCAGAACTTTTTTGGGCCTGCGTATGAGCCCACCGCATTAACATGCGTTAAATTACTACGACCGCGTGTGCGCAAGCTGTGTATACACTCGCGGGTGGTGTGGTGCACTCGCGTCTGCGTCTGCTGCGGCATATGTTGCGGATTTGTTTACATGCATTTGTTTTTGTACATATGTGCAAAATTGTAGCCAATCAGTAACGCGCCAAATTGTGTGCATACTTGTTTACGTGCCTCCTGCCAGCTGAGTGCGCGCTTTTTTTTTTCAGCGATACAGAAGTTCATCGATATTTGTTTATATTTTGATGACGTTGCGCAGTCACAAGCGGCAGCTTCAGCGTTGGCGCCGACAACACTGTATGATTCTAATTTGAATTGCAAAAATTCAATCAGTATTGTTTTTGTTTGTTTTGATTTGGTGCGCGCGATTTTGATTCGCTCTGTTTAGTGAACAATTATTTTTTGTTTGTTTGATGATATGAAATTTCAATATCCGATGTTTTCGGCGACCAACACAAAAATTAAGGTACATAGCTACGTAGTCCTACATAATAGCCACAACTTTCCACTAATTAAAAACAAAATAAAAATTTATTTTTTAAAACATTTTATTAATACATAATATTCTCTGCATAATTATTCATTCTTATAGTTACCCAGTGATGCCACTGCGCCCACTTTGCGTTGCCTTTTAAATGGTCCTTTTCGTGAGCTGCACTTTGCTGCCACAGACCATCGTATCACACCCGTACACGACATCGTCTTCCTCGATGAAGTCGATCCAGCAATAACGCCGCTGAATTATCGCCCGATAGCAACATCTCCAGAAGCAACGTCACCAGATGGAATAAATGGATTCAATGGCACCAACGGATTAGATACCAGCAGCAATGGGTAAATAATATTTTTCACTTATAACAATTGTTAATACTTGTAAATATAAAGTTATCAAAGTAGAAAGCATTTCCCTACATCTGTGGACCTTTAAAACCCCATTCGAGTGATCCATTTTTATTTTTTCAAGATAGGGTTTGGGGCACCTTCCAAAATTTTTCCTCTTGCCGAAAAAGGTGCTGGTACCAAAATTTTCGTTTCTATGTATAAATTTAGAGGATGCTCATGATGGTTATATTTCCCTCTAGAAATATTCTGTACATACTTATGTATGTATATTCATCAAACAATTGGTTAAGTAACCTAAGAACATTTCAAATTTAAATTATCTAAAAAAATATCACAAGCTTCAGTTGTCACGGCAACAGTAGCTTTTTATAAATATCACGCGGTTTCAACGGGATGGTGCTTTTTGCCACTCAGCGCATGAAACAATGTGCCTATTGCCATTATATTGCGAAACAACGAGATCAAATGGCCGCCGAGATCTTGCGATTTGACATCATTGGACTTCTTTCTCTGGGGCTACGTGAAAAGTATGCTCTATGCCAATAAGTCCGAGGCGATTCCATAGCTTAAGAACGCAATCATACGGCCCGACCGCGGCCGCTGTGGTGCAGTGGTTAGCAGTGCGCCCGACCACTACGCAGGGCCTGGGTTCAAGCCCGGTTCAACCCAACATCAAGAAATAAAAACCAAAAAAGTTTTTTTTTTCCAATAGCGGTCGTCCCTCGGCGGGCAATGGCAAACCTCCGAACATGAAAAACAGCTTCTCATAAAAATACAATTGCCGTTCGGAGTCGGCGTTAAAGTGTAGGTCCCTCCCCTTTGTGTGTCAAAGTCAAGGTGCATGCCACAAATCGGAGGAGAAGCTAGGCCAAACACTAACATATGTGCAAGCGCCAATCTATTATTATTATTATTATACAGGCCGACCTATGCCAAAAAGTCATGGCCAATTTCGTTATGCCCATCTTGTGTTCCTAGAGGTGCAACTTTTAATATGAGAAGCTTAAAATTTGGAGTAATCTTACAACAGTCATTCCATTATCTTTTTTGACGTGATATGCGTCATACACGTGCTTTCCAAAACATAACATATAAATTTTTAGCCTAAATAGCACATGTATGAAATTTTATGGCCGTAGGATAACGATAACCCGTGCCGATTTTTAGTTGAAGTCTTAGTTCTTCTTCTTATTTGGCACTGTAACCGCACACTTGTGCGATTCTGTCGGTGTGAATCTGTTCTGACAACAATGGCGTTCATAGTTTTAAATGAGTGCGATTTTGCGGCAGCGATTTATTCGAACATTCACATTTCATCTTTACGTCGTGCCGAAATCGCAGACCCACGCGTTCGGAGAACTAAAAATATTAATAGACCGGCGTTGTACAATTTAACAATTTAAACAAAAATTAACGTAAGAGAACAAAACATGTTGATTGTGCAAAAGCTAAACATTTTATTGTTTGACGAAAATTATTTTTTGTTTGTTTATAAGATGAAATTTTGCGTAGTAAACTCTGTAGCATCAAAAACATCACATCACATCTTTGAAATTAAAAAGTCCTTTAAAATAAACCCTGACATCAGTGAGAAAAAATAAAAACGCCACTTTAAATAAAACAGTTGGTTTCATTCATTGTGCTAATTTGCTTTAATGTGTTCGTAGCAAAATCGACTACCTGGAAGTCTGTCAGGGTTGAATTTGGCTGAAAGTTATACGTTTATCCACCAAAATCGTTTGATAAAGTGATACACTTTGGTTAAATAGATTTTCATACAAAGTTTGAAAGTTCATTCACGTTCGTGATTTGTTTATAAATTTTTTTGACTTTTTTAACCCATTCACGATTATTTTTATTGTCATTTTATACATATGTACATATGTATGTATGTATGTATGCACATAACAACGAGTTCGTTAGCTAAACGAGTTATTGCTGCTGCCGGTATTCGCAAAAAAAAAAAAAATTTGGCCTGCTTCAAGGTCGATCGCTGTTTGTTGCTAATCGAGCAAAAGTGGGTGTGAGCGTTACTCGATTGCCGGCATTTGCTGATAAATGCCTCATGTAGTGAGTGATAAGTCGTTCATGATTATGTATGTATGTACATAAGTATGAATATGAAAATTCGCAATTTTTCACACCGTAGTTGAGCCAAGTCAGCAGTGGTTTATTTTTCTAGTTATTTTGATTTCGTTGCTAGTTGTTAGCCTTGGCGCGAACTTTGCCGAGGTAATTAAGAATTAATAACATTGGCATTGAACTTGAACGGATAATTTGCAATTGCGGAAGTTTTATGATTTGCTAACCTTATGTTTTTATTTACGTTTTCTATTAATAAATAAACAAGTAAAAAAAACATATTTCGCAGACTTTTTAAGTTATCGAGTATAGATCGTACACCAGGTAGAGTAATTTATCAAATAACGTATTCATAAACTACTCGGACTAAACCATTTTAAGCTCATTGATTTGTTGAGCGATTTTAAGTGTAAATATTGGCTTAAAAAGAAGAAAGTTGGAAGTTTTCTAAGAACTGAAGAGTATACAAAAAATTAGCGATATTTTATAAGAAAATTTCGTTCTACAGTTCACTCCAAGAATTACCAGGTACATTCCGCGACAAGACGATAGCACCTCAACATTTTGAACAGTTTTGAGTAGTTCTCTTTCGATTGTTTAATGTTCATTATTTTTATGTAAAAGTATAGCTCTTTATCTAACAAATAACATATAAATCCAAATTTCAGACTTTGTATAAAAATTAGAAAAATTCCACAAATTTTTCATCCCAATTCCAAGCATTGTAATTTAAATTTCTCGAATAATTTTTGGTATGCTGTTTTATAGCTTATTAGATTCTAGCACAATGAAGTGACAGTTTGAAGTTGCTGAAAAATCGCATTGAGTTTTGATAATTTTTTTCGGACGGTGTCACTCTTTTCCATGTAAAAATTTACTTTGTATGGAAGACAATTTCTTAAATTTTTGTAAAATTTTGAAATTTGGACTTACATATATGGTTTTTGTTAGATACGGAGTTGAACTTAAAAAAAAAATGAACTTTAAGAAAAGCAAAAGAAAAGTAGTTAAAACTGGTAAAAATGTTGATGTGCCATCGAGAGACCACCCGTCCACCCCTTCTAAAATGCAGGGAATGTTTTTTATTGAAAAACGCACGAATATGACCTACATAATGGGGGATGCTCTCTCTATTGGAGCTGTTAGCTGAGGGAGAACGGGAGACCAGGTTTAGAGTTTTGATCGAGTTAGAGGAGTAGGGGAGATAGGGATAATCTTTGGTGCGAGCGTTTACATATCGCACTCAATGCGCCCATATGGTTTATAGGTGCACATCAAGGCAGCCACGCACTCCATATGCCTGTTATGCGAGAGAGAGAGAGAGAGAGAGAGAGAGTGAGATATGTGGCCAGGCGAATAAAGCGGTAGCGCAAGATGGGCCATGGGTCATGGTCTAGCTGCCGCAGGCTGCTGTGATTTATTCAAGGATGCATTCATGCAGAGCCCCAGTGTGGCTTGTAAGCCGTAGCTTACTACCATGCCAAAAATTACCCCGGGAGTGGAGTGGAAGCGATGCATAATGCGCCG